ATAGCCTTCTTCCCTCAAACTTACAATTCTGACTCGTAAAATGATAATCCTCGTGACATTTTTTAAATGACAACTTTCCGTGAAAAAATATTCTAAATTCGATAATATTGACTAAGTCAGATTTATGAATGAGTGTCAGCTTGGATTTTGATGTCTTTTATATGGAAAAACAATTAAATTATTTTATGGTTCTACGTTCTAATTCTAATTTTAAAATTAGGAATTTTATCAGAAAAAGCAATTACAAAAAAGTCTTCTGTAACACAAAAAACAATCTATTTTTTAAAGTGATCGAAAACTTTTTTTGATGTGTGTATGTATAAAGATTTCAAACAGAACATTATCGGTCTTACTACAAAATAGTTAGATACTGTTTCAAACCTTGTTTAGGCAAATTCCGTATGTCGTTTTTTCTTAAGCTCGTGTTGAACGCATGTCTAATTAATTTGTGAAAATAAGGTATGATTCGTTAGCAAATATTTTGTATCTGCAATAAATTGGCTCTGAGCTGACCGTTCAAATATATCATATGAAACATGCACAATTTATTCGTGCGGTGCGAAATTGTTGTGTTTGAAAATTATGACTTCATTTGCTCACGATGTTTACATCGTGAAGAATAACTTTTGCCGTAAAGTAACAATGTCTTACTTAATTGTGCAAGAAACATAAATACAAAGTGCATCTTTTATATACATCAAGGGTCTAATTACCACACCGGCTTGAAGTTAAGTATGAATTGTATAAATAGCTTTTAAAAAAATTTCAACACAAACCTCACAATTATCGGCAATCTGAATATGAAGACCATTACAAGTGGATTAACCTATTAATAAAAAATGCAGGTAGCCCTTTTAATAATCACTGTACAAAAACCATTACGAGTGAGTTCAGAGAAGGGCGATTTTTTATGTAACATTCACTATGTTAAAAGGGTGACAAATGAGCATTTGGCCCACCTGCTGGTAAACAGCCACATCACACATCACATAAAGTATGTGGAATATTATCGAATACTGCAATGATTTTTAAAGTATTCAAGTATGAATAAATCCAAGGTTCACACGAATGCTACAGCAACGAGAGAAAAAATTACAACTATTCAGTATTCAACTTGGCATTCGGTTTTACGATTCATTGTTCGATTTATGTCAAACTCAAACATTATCATTTGTCCCTGACATCAGACTGAATAACAGCACTGTCCCATTCAATCATAAATAACTCGACCTTATTATAGTACTTATAAGTAACAATATAGTAAATGTTTATAATTATTATTGACTTATTTTGAGTTTAAGTACGAAACTTTACGCCACGTAATCTGACTGAGGTCGGAGCGGTCGGATTGTGTTAAAGAGGAACCGCACATTGAGCCATTAGTCGCGGCCACTAAAGCGACCCCAACTTATTGTGAAATGGAAATACTATTGATTTCGCTGCTGTTGATTATTATAATTAGAAGTAGAAATCAGAATTCAAAACCATCGACTTACAATTCATCTTGGTACTGTAGCCGAGTGTGCGCGCGATGCGAGCGCCAAAATGCATAAAATAATTAATAATAATTAAGCGCGTTTTCTTTTGTGTTTTAGTATATGATTGTGTTACTGCTCGGAACAACCACCAGTATCGAAAAATATATGTGAATGAATACATTGCATTGTTTTGACATGAAAAATGTAGAATATTTGTTTATCATGTCATGCTCATAGCCATTGTGTCTATTTGGGGCACTGGGTGACACGAAGAGCGAGTGAAACAGGTTACATTTTAAGATAAAGATAAAAATTAATATTTGACTATTGTATAAATATCTGTAAATGCTTTAGTGTATTGTATATTAATTCCTTTAGCCATCTTAATGATACTTCATTTTCTATTGGTTGTTGCTGGGCTCTTAAATAGGCTAAATTGGTAGATTGTAGTCCCCTGTAACTGTGACCTCCCACACCCCACCCCCTAGGACCGCATCAGCCTAAACTAGCTTCTTTTTGCAAAAAAACCTATATTTACATATGAAAATTTTCTGCACGTCGCATTAGAAATATATTTAACAAATATAAAAAAATAACATACCATAATTACAATAATACATAACAGACCATCAGTGGCACTAGTGATAATTATAACGACAGCCTAAATTCGTATCTTTAAATATTTGTTTATTGACTTTGTTTACACACTTTCTCGCTTAAAATTAATAGCTTTAACTGCTTCAAGTCAATAGGGCAATAAATCAATGTGACAACCACACAGCACTTCTGAAAATTAATGACTCACTCCATCCGTTCCCGATTCCTATCATATATAAGCTATAAGCTTATCAAATTATAGGTAGATATGTAGTACTGTTGAAAACACAATTGTATATGACGTAAATAATATTCTGTAGTACCTCACCGTTAAGTGCAAAAATAGGTTATACCACATAGAAAAATAAGTAATTAATCAATCGTGAATAAATGCTCGTTCACATTTTTCAGTCAATACGGGATCATTAGTGTTGCGTCTTTACCAAACGTTGCGGTAAGCCCATTCTGCAGTCATTAGCTCAACTCAGTATATATATATATATAGTTGCATTTTAAATCAGCTTCGTAGCGTACCTACATCCTCGCGCTCGCGCGACGGGCAATTGCTGAAAATCAGCATTTTGCCTATTAAGGTAAAAACACTGCTGAGCTTCTGCCTATTTGCATCACTGTCACTTACTAATGACTGTAGTTAAGAATTGATATTTACGAACTTATAATACTCAATACTCAAGTTTTTATTGATTTCCATAAGTTATACAAGATGTTACAAAATAATATGCACAATCATGGACCCCGTCGGGCACAGCAATCAATTACAGAGGGAGAGTGACACCTTTGATTACATAAAAACGCTAATAAGTACCATAGCTGACTATTACAATTTAGAATTTATATAATATCTATCTATAATAAATTAAAATAGGTATTAAATTTTATTTGATTCTATAAAATCACGAATAATAATAATAATAATGTGTATACTAATTCATTAAAAATCATCTATGTCTGCAGTGATAAAATGTATTAATTGTATTAATTTGTGATGAAAATAAATGATTGAATTGAATTGAAAATTAAAAGTACATCAAAACAAGTGCCCCTTGATAGGTTCTTAGGATTGAGTTCAGCTGAAAGATTTAAGTTAAATAAAGAGATTACTACGTTAATAAGTATAACAAATAAGTGAGCTATGCTTTCATTCTTATTATCCCCTACTTAAGATTTTCACAACAAGGCCCACATTCTTTGTAAAAATTAGTCATCAGTAAAAAAGAAAGCATTGAAATAAAACGATCTTGACACAATTTATAATCAAACTCCGATTATTATTATCTGAGATAAAATCAAATGATACAACCAGACTTCATCGTTATTTCTTATAAGGTTTAATAAAACTTTGAAAGAAGAAGAAGAATTGGTGCCACGTTTGCAATAATTTATTTACGAGACTTGGACCTTTCACCACTGATTATTATGTATATAATCAATTATCTAATACTAGGAACCTCTGCCGTAATGCCGGATTTTTATGTTGGATTTTTAATTAAGGATATTATTAGTTAATTTATCACTATTCAAAGACAATTATGAAAACGGTAGTTTTTACGAGCTCTCCGGAAGTGCCGATGATGACGCCACAAAGTGACATGACAACTGAATTCTATTAATAAACGGGTCAGTCAGTAGTATTAATAAAATAAGTTTATAATTTAAAAACAATCTTTATAATAAACAAATGGAATCACATTCATAACATGGAAAGCAATTGTGGAAATAAAGGAGTTGGTTGCTATGGATATTATCTAGGGCTAAAGTACTCATCAAGACAAATCAAATGAGAGCAATCTCGATCTGTTACAGATCACTTTAAACACTTGATTTTTCTAGTCAACTTAAAAAATATGTACCATTGGCCTATTGCACTAGCGAGTTTGAATATGATTGAAGTTAAACCCTTATTAAATCCCCATCTCACAAGTCCTTACTAAAAAAAAGAAAGATAACTATACATCAACACCTCATCACGAACCTCCACAATTACCAACATCGTCAATCCAATACACACGTGTTTACCGACAATTAGCGTGAATCTCACCCGTCCGTGACACCACTGCAATTATCAACATTAACCTTCACTAGGCACTCGTTAAATTTCAACCTTTTCCCGCTGTTTACAAGTACGAGTTTTCCACCACGGGAAGTGGGGCAATGGGTGATTTAAACTGCGGTAATCGTGCGTTAATCGTTTCGCCCGCAGAAAGGATGCTATGACGCGTGCAGTGAACACCCGCGTGCACAGATTTGTTCTGCACTCGATGTAAAATATGTGTAGACTTTTTTCAATCATGGTGATTGTTTATAGAAGCACTACAACTTTTTTGTGCAATCTTCCCTTTGAATACTTTATTAAACTGATACGTAGAGTATCTGAAACCGATAGAGCTTTGAAAGACTTTAACCAATTCAAAAATAGACAATGAAATTTGAGCGTGTATGTTTTCTGCATAACATCAACATAGTGCCAGTGAGAATATCTTGCGCGAGACTTGATCGTCTTACTCATTTCATGGCAGAAACAAAACAAAGTAGTAAAAAAGAATGTAAAGAATGAATTTGTCATCATAGCCTACGCTTGCGCAACAACAAACAAGGCAAGTTAACCACTATTATATGCTATTTTTACTATCCTTCACACAAAAACAAAGAGGAGCTGTGTGGCGCAGGCGCGTAGCGCGTTCGGCCTGCGATCGCGGTAGTTGAGCAACTTTCGCATTGGTCGGTCATTGGATGGGTGATCAAAAACTTATCATCTCGAGCTCCTCCGTGCTTCGGATGGCAGGTTAAGCCGTTGGTCCCGGCTGCCTCTGCAGTCGTTAGCACCCAGAAAAACACATTCTCGACTAGTATCTTAAAAAGACAATGCTGATGTACTAATAATACAGCTTTCGTCTCTTGCCCCAGGTCCAGAATATGGCACAATGGAAGCGGCGTGGAAGGGCGGCATGGTGGAGGCGGAGCGGCTCTCGGACCTGCACCTCAGCGTGCGAGATCGGCTCGTCAATGACGTCATCGCTCAGATCAAAAACTGGCAGAAAGACACGTATCATAAGGTTGGTACATTTTGCTCAGAAACGTATCCTTTAAAGGTCTAATGCCGCGATTACACTTGGTCGTTAGCCCGAATACGAGTGCCAATGGTATTCGGTTAAACGACTAAGTGTAAACAAACAAAGTCGATCACGCCCGTATTCGGGTAGTTTTCCTTTTGTTTACTCGACACCATCTTTCAGCTCGGATTCCAGTGTGAATATTGCTTCGGGTATTATTATTATTCGGTAATGCCATTGGCGCACCCATAGACAGACTTACGACCAAATGTACTTGCGGTATAAGGCAGTTGTCCCAACGCTGGCGGGAAAGCGATTAGCAATCAGCTATTTACTCGCTCAAAAAACGTACAATCCATATAAACAAGAGAGATGCATATCTTAATAGTTAAAAGCCGGTGTGAACTCGCTACACAATTTTGTTGCTTTGCGACAAGAGCTATCAAAGATAATACTCGCTCAGCGATGGTCGCTTGGTGGTGTGACGTGCACGCGTGCATTTTTGCTCACGAGCTCACGACTGTCACCGCGAGCAAATGGCGTGAGTAAAAGCCCAGCGATATAACTATCAGAACTACACATTCGCTTCCCGCTGATCGTCAACTCGTTTCTAGTTTGTAGCTCTAATCGCTTCTCGGTCATCGTTGCCTAAGAAGCAGTTGTGGGGTGAAGTTATTTTGAAGAATGCTTAGCGCTTATAAATCCGAATATATATGTTGCGTTCAACTGCGCCGTTTACTTGCTCCCTCCCCACTAATGTCGTGTAATGGTGGTACAATACACATACGTGAAGCTGTAATATGAATTTAGAGTCTCATTTTGTGTCTTTATGATATCAGAACAGACGTTCTTGACTTAAAATGCTTTTTGTTTTTACGAGCCATTAAATTTTATTTGCGTCATTTTTCTCTAGTCTTGTTAAGTATTGGTTAGCGGGCTCTGTCTGATGTGATCTTCTATTAATCCTAAAATAGCGTTATATGTATCCTTTAATAGTATTATCGGATAATAACAGAAATTATGTTTCTTCATTACCTTAGCAAATGAACATACAACTATGATATTCTATTCTATGTTTTATTTATTGCGCATATCTTGCAAATAACTTCTACGGCTTTATGAAATTTTGTATTCATATAAGGTTTTGTTTTTAAGTCAACGTATTTATTTACATATTTTTGTTAAATAATAAACAAACCTAGCATAGGTTTACCAGTCTACTAGCTCATGTCCGGCCCCAGGTGCATAAAGGACAATGTTAAAATTGGCCTAAGAACCAACACCAATTTGGCATTTATGATAATTCTTAGTATATTTTTTGCGATAATTATCAGTATTTAGATTGTGACGGACACTTCCAGTTAAGTAAGCTAAATTAAAAAGTTAAAAAATAATCTAAGACAATAAATACCATTTTATGTGTATAATCTATGGCAGCGCTGCAAACAAAACACTCTTTCTTCCTAATGCCGGCACTTCACTTGGCTAATCGTATTTGCTATTTTTAAACATGACATCAGTCTGTCCTTTTCATTCTTTATTAAGCATGACAAGGACAAACTGTTGTCAAGTGAAGGACCGGCATAAAACTCGTTACTCTGTGGTTGTGGTGCATGCAGTTTACATTCGAAGTAATCTGTGGCATTCGTGCATTCCAAAGAGAAGTTTAATATACCGGAAAGTGCATTCTCGTTTCGGATTACCTGTTGTGTGTGTTTATTTGCGATTGTTTTTCCTATAATTTAACTATTTCGGCTATCTAATATGCCGTCGATGTTACCTGTGTGTGATAGTGAACCTGTGCCACAACATCCTGAGAGGATCATACTGCCAAATTATTCAAGAACACCTGATACACATTCACGCTGCATATTTACACAATATTACATGTGATAAACAAATAAATACAATATGATACAATTATGTGTAAAATAGTCAATAAATAAGAAGCACAACTACAGTTTTTATTTTATTCATGATTCCTACCTAACCAAGTTTTTCCTAATAGTTATTCTTTAAAATCGCACCGAATAAAATGAATTAGTTGTAATATTAATTCACTTCATACTGAGTTCATACTAAGTTCATATGTTGACCTATGTTTCATTGAAAACATACTAAACATAACCTCAAAAAAAATTTAGTTTTCCTAATAATTTAAGTTCTCAGAAGTGTCCGTTAATATCTTTGTTTTTACAGTCATTTACTTACGATTTTGAACCTAGAAAATAATAACATGATTGTTGATTCTTAGGCTAACTATGTATGGACGCTGAACAATGTCCTTTAGCTAATTTTGATAACTATTTCTTCCATTTCATTTCGAGTTTAGTATGCGCTATAAATCACTTGAGATGGCATGTATTCTACATAAACTTACCCACTGTCCATTGAATTTATCTGTAGAATACAAACGCTGTAAAAACACCTTTCCCTTAATTAAATTTACTTATCGTACGAGTTGAATTAATTTAGTGGGCGCGAGTGGTATATATAATGATGCCGTGAAAGCTAATGAAGCTGAAATTACTGTTTAGATTTTAAATATATTTGAACTTTCTACTACGCGTATGTGTTTTATAAGGTAAACTTGATATGCTACGAGACGGTGCGCAAACCAGTTTTCGTCTCGCCATCTATGTTTACAAAATCAATATTGATCAATACAGTTCTTTCTTTTAGAAAGAGTTCTGTACATATAACCTCATGCCATTTACCCGTGCCCGCCAGCCCGGCTTCGAAGAAAGTTGCGCCAACTATAAGAAAACAAAAAAAAATATATACATACATAGGTGTCGATTCTGGCGGGATTCTCTAAACTTAATTAAATAGATTAGATTAAAGATACGCCCGATGAAACCACATTTGGTAAAAAAGAGGTCTAAATTATTGCCAACATTAGATTCTGAAACTATTCTGGCTATTGATAAAGTTATAGGAGTTTGCAAGGATTTTAGTTATTTGGCGTTTGGTTGACGTTTTTATTCTATGAAGAAAACAAAGTTATTTACTTTGTTACGTACGCACGTATTGATGCGTCTGATATGAAGTGTCTAAATCAAATGACCACCTCGCTAAGTAAGTAACTGTAGCGTCTAACTATTAAAGCGATTACGTAACTTGGATGTTCAAGGTAGATTGAAGGTTTATTAAAACATACAAGCGGTCAGTGCGACGCGCACCTTAGCACGTGTCAAACATTCCTCCACAAATATGGCGCTCGTGAATTAAACACTTCCAACTCCTTGTAGGGAATGCTGCGCACAAGTTGACTACTAATATGAGGATGTTACTGAGTTTTAAAATTGTCATGGCCCTCAGTCTCGCTTTATATTGTCGACCCTTGCAACACCGGATTCAAGCGCTTGTGTATTGCTTATCACCTTCATCAGCCTAATAATGTTCCCACTGCTGGGACACGGGTCTTATTTATAGATGAAGTAGGAAAATTAGACTGAGCCATGACTCACCACACGGGCCCAGTGCGGAATGGTGGGTGCTAACGACTGCAGTCGCCGTAGCATGAGCTCTACAATTTACATTATATCACTTTTTTTATCGCGCCTAACTGTGAAAATCCATAGTAATTGGACTATTGAGCGTGATAAAAACGTGTTATATATATCATATCGTGATGCTCATGCTAGGGGGCCAGAAGCAGCTGGGGCCAACGGCTTAATGGCCGAAGCACGGAGCAGCTCGAGATAGTAAATTTTGACCACCCATCCAATGACCGACCTCTGCGAAAGTTGCTTTTCTTCAACGATCGCAGTAGGACGCGCTAATCCTTATCCACATCGAGATTTATTATATTAAGATTAAATTAAAGTTTTCGTTTTCTGTTTTTATTTCTTGCAGGAAACAAATCGAAAACTACATAGGTACACATGGGGTACTGATTATTATACACTGACAGTGACTTCATAACCATGCGTTTTTAAAAATACATTACGTCATTTCATATTTAATGCGAATGCAAATGAAATAAGTTTCATATTAACATAAATGTTAATACATTATGCAATATAATCACCTAACACTGTCCTCGGCCGTCAAAACAAGCATTGCATTAGGTGACAATTTACAATTTGTACATGTCATCAAGTAACGATGTATTTTAAATAATAAAAGTAGTTTGTGTTTGAGACGAATATTACATGAAACTTTGAGTCTTCGGAGCCAAGAATAATGAATGAATAATGGTAAACAAAGTGACAAAGTCTGAATCAATATCAAAACGCTCGTGGAACTATTTTTTTATATTTATCTTATAAACAACATTAGAAGTTCTTGGCGTTGTACCAAATACACATCTATATAATATAACATATAATAAAATGGTAGGAAAGTCAAAACTGTATATTGAATATTTTTTTTAAAGAATACTTGGGGCGTGATCTTAAATCGATACCGAAGCTAAAAATATAGTTTTTAGAATTTTTGTCTGTCCGGGATAAACTCAAAAAGTACTGCATGGATTTACTTCAAATTTGGCACGAATATTACTAAGAAGCCGGATCAACATATAGGCTAGATATTATCACGCTATCACCTACGGGGAACGAGCAGTAAACCTTTATTTCTAACTAACTCCACTTCTTTGGAGTGGAGTTAGTTAGAAATAAAGGTTCTTCTTTCAATTCTTATGGTCACTTACATTATAGTTTCATTCCATAAGACACCGGGAAGGTTGTCTATTGTTCTCTTGTAATTCGAGAACTAAAAGAACCAGTTTTTATCCATGACAAATTCTTATAATTTGTTTTTAGACCGACTAGATCAGCAAAATACCCCTATGTGCGTTGTCGAAAACTATAGACATGTATTTAACATCCTTATGTCGCATTACAATAGGAATATTAGTATTTATTGTGATAGAACGATTATAATAATAGATCTAATACGAGTTTATATTAAACAGCTTGATTTTATGAAGATTCTTTACGAAAGACTATTGTTTTCAAAACAATCGCTTACTGCTGGCTTCTTAATTGACGTCTTGT